TTTCTTAAAGCGTTGAAAAACGAATCTGTTGCCAATCATCTTCGCATGTCCACGAATCTACAATTCATGACAACTAGAGTGAAGCAAATGTTTCAAAGGGAAATACTTCGGACAAAAATCCATTCGAGCAAAAATACCTTTGAACAAAAATACTTCGAACAAAAATCCATTTCCGAACAATTCAAAATCAACGATCGAACAGAAATAAAAGTGATGCTCTCGAGGATACTTAAAGGGCAGTTGGATCGATTCGACACCATTCGCAGCGACCGTAGTTATCAGACGACTGTTTACCCTCTCCACGGATGTTGACGTAGAGTATAGCGATCGTAAGGGTAAGCGGGGCGAATAGTTCGCAAGGCGTCGGAGAGTCGAGCGGAGTTCGTCCGGCGCGCGTATTCGCCCTAAGAGCTAAATATCGCCCGGCCGGTCCGGGTTGCGTAAGTATCATCGTCTCTTATGAAAGTGTTAGAGGAGAGGACAGGTGCCTCCACGCGTGTCGTTCTCGGACATCGCATTTTCGCGATGCCACCGCCGCTCGCTCCCCGAGCTAAAGCTCCGTTTTAGCCGGCCAAGCGACTCCGGTTATCCGGAATAGACCGGGGTCCCTCTGGTCGCGTTTCCAAACGCACCACGGTGAATCAACCGTGCCACGTGGACACCAAGTATACACGCAAGTTCGCATAAAAGAGAATCCACGGGAACATTCCCAACGAAACGGAATTCGCGAAAATGTTCGTACAGGAAAGACTTCATTGAAATGCACGTGCTAGTAAGAGACTTTATAAAAATCTTCGTGCGGGAAAGACTTTATTGAAACGTACGTGTTAAAATGATATTATAAAGATCATCGTGCGAGAAAGATTTTATTGAAATGTCCGTGCTAAAAAGATCTTACAAAAAAACGTTCGCGCAGGAGAGTCGTCATAAAAATGTTCACGCGAGAAAGATGTTATAAAAATGTACGCAGTAGGAAGGCGCTATGAAAATTTTTACGCAAGAAAGACGTTATAAAAATGTCCCATAGAAAACGACGCTCTAAAGGTGTTCATAAAGATGAGAAACATCGAACGCGTTCGTACAAAGAAGAAACAGTAAAAGCGTTCGTACGAAATAAGACATAATAAAGATGCTTGTACAAAGAGAAAACGCTAGAGACGTTTGTCGAATGAGGGGCGCCAAAAATGTTTATAGAAATAAGGAAGGCCAGAGATGTTCGTACAAATAAGAAACATCGAAGATGTTGATCGAATGGAAAACGCCGAAGATGATCGTTAAATAAGGAATGCCAGAGATGTTCTGCGAATAAGAAACACTAAAGATGTTCGTCAAACAAGAAGCACCAAAGACGTTCGTCCGAAGAAGAAGCACTAAAGATGTCCGTGCGAATAAGAAACGTCGAAGACGTTGCTCAAATGAAAAGCACCGGAGATGTTAATAGGACACGTTTCGGTTCAGACTTCAGAGAAAGTATCGCTGGGACGGCTTTAAAGGGATGACAGGGGCGACGTTAATTCGGGATGTGGCTAATCGCGGGACAGAGAGGTATGAATATTAAAGCGGGCGATGAATCGTTCGCCTAACCGTGACAACGGGTCCCCGAGTGTGCGATTGAACGCGGCCGGGATTGAAATATTAGGCATCCCTGGTCCCCGTGTGTCCCGGTGTACTTCCTTTCTATAATAATACCGTCTATTAGGTCAGTCGAAACGAACCGAACGGAGGCAAGTGTCTACTTTTAGCATAGCCAAGACACAGGCGCGCTCGCTCGCACGCTCGTACGAGAGCGCAAAAGCGTAGAGCATGAGCGCGCTCGGGATAATCCGAAAGGGTCCGGGAGTCTTCGCTATCCGGCACGCCTTGGCAGCCACCGAGTTTATATTATTGTGGTGCCGGCGTTGTATATTTACAGAGGGCCAGGAATTTTTATGATGTTGATCGTTCGTCGCGTGCACACACCGGGCCAGCTTTCTTCTCCCGGCTGGCCTTTGTGAATTAATCGGCCACGTGCTCGGCCGCCAAACTCGCCTACCAGTCGAGACCACCGAATTCGCCAACTTCGTCGTTTCTCGGACAGAACGAATTTTGCTCGATGATTCGATTTTTCGTCTATGCTTCTAGTGGAACTAACAAAGGCCGCAGATCTTTGCGTTTGGGTGCGTCTTGGACAGATGAGAATTCGATTGCAATGAAGCTCGGCGAGGATTTCGAAGTAACGTTTGCACGGAGAGTGGTGCTACCGTGCTACCCTATAAAATGAGTGAAGGTCGCTTTGCTACCTAGTACGTAAACGATTATCAGTAAGGATCCAGTGACAGCGGACGATTCAAGAAACGAGAAGACATCGTCGACGGTTTGTATTTGTTGTCCAGAAGATTCGAGGGCAGCATGGCCAGCGATAGAGCATCGGAGGCGCCACCTCGGAAGCTGAATGAGAGATCAAGAAACCGAGCCATCTGGAGAGAGTGCCTAACCTACCCCATGTCTTGGCAGCCGCGCGTTTTTTTCTCTTTCTCGTAGGTGGCGGCGGTAGGCCTCGCCAATTTTTGCGTCAACCGGCTGTAAACATTAGAAAGCCGGCTGCCAAGCGGTGCGTCTGGGCCCGGACCGACAGCCAGCAGTGGCTGTTCTCCTCTCTACGGTCGCGGAACGGGTACCTCGTCGTCGGTGGTCGGGTTTGCCAGGACGCGCGCACGGAAATCACGTGTTTCATCACTGAGTCAGTGGAAGCCGAGTTCGATGAAACACGAACGAAAGAACCGGCGGACCATGCCAGTCGCGAGACTGCCTTCTGCCAGCTGATCGATCAGACGGTCGATCAACGCACCCGGACCACCTCCCCTTTCGCGTTGCTCCGCGATGAAAGATTCATCCCTCGGAGCGCAATCGATGACAAAAACAAGTTGAGTTTTATACAGAAGTTCATCTAAAATCCATTTGCGAAAGAGATGGAGCCAAAAGAATCTCTTAAAACTGTGTTTAAATTGAACAGATCCTATTTTAATCCTTTCCAATCGGAAATTATTGATGCTTCATCCCTTAATTGCTATCAATGACAAAAAACAGGTTGGATTTAATAGAGAATTTCGTCTAAAAATCTATTTTCGAAAGAGATGGAGCTAAATGAATCCCTTAAAACTCTCCTTCAGGTGTTTAACTCTCCGTTGTCACTACTCCTATATAATGTTTAAAAGAACTGTCAGTCGAAAATTAGCGATAATATCGACACCCAAAAATGTTAGGATATAATTAGAAAACTCGATGTCTCTCACTTCGAAATGTATTGAATTAATCCTTAACCTCGTTTTCCCGAAAGAAAAATGTGGGTAATTTCGACTCAGCCTGACAGCAGAGGGTTGAACTGTACAGATCCTGTTTCAACCCTTTTCGATCGTAAATCACGAACACCTCGGCTCTGAAATCGCTACGACCGATAAAACGGCACGGATCCAACAGAATAATCGATCTAGAATATTTGCGAAAATTAGCCAACGTTCGCCACGAAATTCTGAGACATTGTAAATTTTCATGGACGATGAAAAAGGGGTTGGTTAATCGAGAATCTGCTCTAGAATTCGGCACGAGAAAGGCGGCAGGGGGTGGGGTTTAAGTCGATCATGGAACGCGAAACGATCGAATACCTTGGACGGTGGACAAGATCGACTATTCTTGATGCCGATCCTCGGCGGGCTCGCGAAGGTCTTGCCAATCGTGGATCTATGTATGTGGATCGCGGGACACGGGTGGGTCTTTGTCGGTTTCGGCTCGGCCGGTGGAAAATGGCGGGAAACGGCGCGAACCGCGCGCCCATGAACACAGCCCCGTTGTTGTATGGGGGGCCGGTGGAATTGGCAGAGCGTTCCAAGAAACTTTGAATCGAAGCCGAGTGCAGCGCGGACACTTTGAATGGACGGACAGGCGACAGTGAATGAGCCGAACGCTGAAACAAACGCGCACCACCAGCCCGCTCTGCGACGCCCATGATCGAGTACACAGCGTTTCTATCCGGATCCAAAAAGCAGTTAGATAGAAGAAGCGACCTGGAAGTCGATTAACTCTACGTCTGCAACTATATTTTTACTGACGTCCTCTGCACATACTTGATTGGTCAAGATCATGCAGCATTTCTCTTGAATAGAGTATTTTACGGTATAAAATTTCATGAACGATCTTTTTCAAGTTTTTAGAATAGTTTTTATTATTGTATATAGACTGAGGATTTTATGCGTTTCTAATAAAACAGATTAGGTGAAATACCAAATTGTTTAATTCGGAAAATCTCGGAACATTGCTACCTTCCTCTGAATTTATTAGAATTGTTCAACGAAGAAATACAGTTTTATTTGATTTCAGTTTCTTACGGTTGAGTTAGATCATATCTTTTTTTAAACAGTTATTTGTTCGTTAAGCAAGGCAATATTAATGTTAGAATAACTGCGAAACAGAAACAGTCGTGGACGAAAACGACCGAGTATGCAGACGGAGGGTTAAAAAACAGACAGGCACATGGTTATACAGGGTGTCATGAAAACGATGGTATAACCAAATAGAAGCTGACTCTACGTTAAAAACTAAGTCGAAATAAAGAACAACATTTTTTCATTTAAAAAGCGACTTGTAATATGACGAGAACTATTCAACAGTATTTATTTCTTTGGTCTATTTTTTCTCGAAAACGGGGCTTTAAATAAAAAGATATTGTTCTTTACTCTCGACTTATTTTAGCACGTAGAATCATCCCCTTACATCGATGTAAAATAGACGAAAAGAATCGATGAATCGACCGGTCGGTGAAATTAGCTAATGGCAAAGCAATTATTTAAAAAATAACCGACCGATAAGATCTTCTCGCGTTCAGCAGAGTTAAATTAGAGAACCAATGAAGAGGTCGTTAAGGGCGGCAAATATTTGTTTCCCTCGTGAAAGAAGGCGACTCGAGCGACGGGAAAAAATTAGCGAACGGAATCGGTGATCGAGGAATTGCGCGGGCGATCGCTTACCGTGGCTGGTGATAAAATTGGCGAGGTAGAGATCGAGTTCCCGGACGGAGACGTTGATGTGATAGGGGTTGACGCAGAGGCCCGGCTGAGCGCATTCCGCAGTCTTCTCAAGCCGTTCCCCGTCCGTCGACTCCAACGGAATTGCCTTGAAGAGGATCACCATCACCAGGTCCAACCTCCATACCTGCGGAACAACGGACGGACAGGCTCGTTATTGGCCGGCGATCGAACCACCGGAAACCTCGGCAACAACCGACCACACCGATTTCCGTCCCTTCCGACTATTCGAACGTACTTCGATCCTCGAACTCGATGTCGAATGTGTAGTTGATCCCTGACGGTTCTCTGGCCATCCCGATTCAACTATCCCAATTCGTAATTGCGAGGCGAGAGCAACGCGTGCGATAATACAACATCGAATTCCCGGATTCTTCTCAGATTTTTAACCCGTTCTTAACCCGTCGCCGTTAAGTTGCGGCAGTTACAATAATTAGAATCTTTGCGATCGCAGCAATTTCTTCGAAGAAAGAGAAACTTTATTTTTATTGTGCTTTTACGTCTACTTGAACGTTTAAATGTTGGTTATTCCAATTCTCTTAATTGGAAGCTGTTTTCTATTATTTGCAATAATAATTTGTAAAATAATATAAAGATTGAGAGATTTTTTCTATTATTTGTGATAATAATTTGTAAAATAATATACAAATTGGAAGCCTTTTTTCTACTATTTGTGATAATAATTTGTAAAATAATATTAAAGCTGGAAGCTTTTCTTTATTATTTGTGGATTAACGAACGCATCTCTGTAATTGATGTGATAAAATAGAATCGGTTTGATCGTTCGGCGGCTTTAAAATCGGGTAGATCTCGGGGAGAACGTTAAATGGAATTTCGATACAGGAAAGAGGATCGAAGTAGATCGGAGAGCTCGTGGTCAGACGCACCTTGTCGGCCTGACGCAGGCAATCGATCCGACGCATCTTGCCCTTCTGGTCAGGATTACTGAGAACACACATGGCTGGCCTCTTCCCCGTGATACTCAACACGAAGTCCTCCCTGTACTCCTGCGTGATATCCTTTCGTAACTTGCCTAGAAGCCGCGAGGCCCATTTCTGTTTCACCTCCAGCTTCTCGTTCTGCAACAGAAACGAAGCGCGTCGTCATTCCACCACTGTTCACCAAATCCTTTGCTACGTTTCATATTCGCGTCAAAAGTCTTCGACTCTGCCAGATCTATTCTGTCATTAGAAATCAATTTACTGACGTAACGATTTCTTCTGGCATTGAATAGAAGGTACAAGCAACAATATTAGAAAAATACAACCCCTAGCAAAAAGAATTCGAACACCTCTTAAAACGCAGTAATTTTCTTAAAATTGGACTGTTCAACGAATGAATTGACTGTTCGAAAAATGAATATAAATTTGTTTAAATGTTAAAAGGACTAGTTTACTGTGGAATTACTAAAATGCTTTTATTTTAATTCTGCTGCTATCTGGAATGACAAAAAAGAAATAAAAGAATGCGTTTTAAAAGATGCGCTACTTCGTGGAAGAGTAGATACAAATGAGAATCAGTGGTTCATCGTTTGAGAGTTTCCTAAAATTTTGAATTAGTTTCAAACAGATTTGGACAAAATTTAATCTGATTAAGTATTCATGAGTATAACTCATTCGTTATTAGAATTAATTGATATAGTAATTGGGCTAAGAGCAGTTGGGCGAAATGTAATCTGATTAATGATAACGAAATTAGTATAAAATATATTAATATATATTTTATAATTAATATATAATTAATATATATAATAATAATATATACAACATATATTATTATATTATATATAATTATATATATTTATAATATATTATATTAATGTATAATAATAATATAATATAATAACGTAATATATAAATAATATATTATAAATCATTAATCAGATTACATTTTGTCAGCTCTGGTTTCAGGTCTGCACGAGTCCAGCTAAAACGAAACGGGTGCTGCCGTCCAAAGTTCGGGAGAATTCCCATGACCGCGGAGACTATGAATCTCCGAACACCGCTTCCGCTATAAACTATCAACGTTCGTCCACACATTAGAAGCGAGAGGGATAAAGAGGCTGCCGATCGTTCGGTGGAGTGAATCGCGCAGGAGCCGGACCCGGCGACTTCCTAGGGGAAAGCTGGTGAAAGATCGGCGGGTCGCGGGGTCCGAGCAGCCGATGCATCATAAATGTTACAAGAAGCATATTCCGAAGTTCCGCGTATCGATGTCCCGCGGCAGCTGTTGATCCGGAAAGTTTCTCGAGTTTACAAACTCGATGGCTCGGGACCAAAGGAACCGGCGACCTCAAACTATTCGACGAAACGATATGCGGGATCACGTCGCGTGTCTCCCTCCCCCACGGTTTTTCCTCCGATATCTTGACCTTCCTCGCGTTCTACGTGTTCTCCGCGGACCACCTCCCGTTCCCCCCTTCATCTCCCTTCCACCCCCGACGCCCGTCCATCGACGAAGCAGCCGACGACGCCGTCGACGACGGAGCTACACAATCGGACGGTTCCTCCCGCGGAACGGCAGCCGCATCTGCATTGTCGATGTTGAGCGACGGAAGTGGAACGACCCGCTTTCGAAATTTACTATATCGTTGTTGACTACGCGTTTACTGGGTCAGTATATAAATAGTAGGAATTTGAAAGAGTATGGTAGCACCGTACGTAAACACGCCGCGCGATATCGCTGCATGCGGCCTGCACCGAAGATATCCGAATGCGATGTTTGAGCTTCGCCATTTTGTATCCGGCTGGGGTCCTTGAGGGAGCCTACGCCGTTTGGTGCACGTGAATCGTAATGTCGACGACGCCGGAACATTTATATACCGGATTGTCAAGGATGGATAACTGATAGGATTGAAACAAGTTTTGGATACGTTTAACGTTGACATGGATGTTTAATTATGTATGAAAGAAACATAAAAGGACATGAACGTAAATAAAAGGGTCGTATCCCAGCTTGGCGACTAATCACGACACGAGCTCGATGAAGAGTGTCTCCTCCTCCACTCGGTTGAACGCATATCGATCGATAAAACAGAAAAGGCCAGTGAGTCCTGAACGTGTTTTGTCTTAAACCTAAACATCCCGGTAATCGATATTAGCGATATTAGAGCGCTTATTTTTTCGTGACAAAATCGTTATATTTCACAATGATACCATTTTTACACATACGAATCTTTGCAGTCTTTAGAGAGCAGATTCGAAAAGCAAAGTAGGCTGGACATTTTATGAAAATTTGTTTTCGGAACATTTCCTAATTGTAGAATTGAATTTTTAATGCGCCAGGAGGATGTCTACCGAACGTTATTAACACGTTCCGTGCCACGTGTACCATCGATGGTACACGCTTGCATGTTTACTTAGTGAACTGAACAAATTGTTTACAAGAAATTTAGAACCGAAGAATCAATTTCCACCGCAAGAATGGGCGTTGATAAGTTTTTGTTACGTTGTTATGTGTACGAGAATTAATAATTGCACGTAATACATCAAGTTTTAGTAAAATATCAAAGTGTGAAGATTCGAGTAAAAAAAGCTCGGCACGGAACGTGTTAACAGTTTCATACGTCTGTATAAACGATCTATAAACCTTTCAAAGAATCAAAGTATCGCGAACATTTTATGAAAAACAATCTCCAGAATATCAAAAGAATTATTCATTATTACTAGAATCACCTTTAAAATATTTATAAAACGATGCATTCACAATGTTATTAAAAATTTCATAAGAATTCTTGCAATATTTAGAGAGCATTTCCAAAAATCAAAGTATCGTGNGATGGCTCGGGACCAAAGGAACCGGCGACCTCAAACTATTCGACGAAACGATATGCGGGATCACGTCGCGTGTCTCCCTCCCCCACGGTTTTTCCTCCGATATCTTGACCTTCCTCGCGTTCTACGTGTTCTCCGCGGACCACCTCCCGTTCCCCCCTTCATCTCCCTTCCACCCCCGACGCCCGTCCATCGACGAAGCAGCCGACGACGCCGTCGACGACGGAGCTACACAATCGGACGGTTCCTCCCGCGGAACGGCAGCCGCATCTGCATTGTCGATGTTGAGCGACGGAAGTGGAACGACCCGCTTTCGAAATTTACTATATCGTTGTTGACTACGCGTTTACTGGGTCAGTATATAAATAGTAGGAATTTGAAAGAGTATGGTAGCACCGTACGTAAACACGCCGCGCGATATCGCTGCATGCGGCCTGCACCGAAGATATCCGAATGCGATGTTTGAGCTTCGCCATTTTGTATCCGGCTGGGGTCCTTGAGGGAGCCTACGCCGTTTGGTGCACGTGAATCGTAATGTCGACGACGCCGGAACATTTATATACCGGATTGTCAAGGATGGATAACTGATAGGATTGAAACAAGTTTTGGATACGTTTAACGTTGACATGGATGTTTAATTATGTATGAAAGAAACATAAAAGGACATGAACGTAAATAAAAGGGTCGTATCCCAGCTTGGCGACTAATCACGACACGAGCTCGATGAAGAGTGTCTCCTCCTCCACTCGGTTGAACGCATATCGATCGATAAAACAGAAAAGGCCAGTGAGTCCTGAACGTGTTTTGTCTTAAACCTAAACATCCCGGTAATCGATATTAGCGATATTAGAGCGCTTATTTTTTCGTGACAAAATCGTTATATTTCACAATGATACCATTTTTACACATACGAATCTTTGCAGTCTTTAGAGAGCAGATTCGAAAAGCAAAGTAGGCTGGACATTTTATGAAAATTTGTTTTCGGAACATTTCCTAATTGTAGAATTGAATTTTTAATGCGCCAGGAGGATGTCTACCGAACGTTATTAACACGTTCCGTGCCACGTGTACCATCGATGGTACACGCTTGCATGTTTACTTAGTGAACTGAACAAATTGTTTACAAGAAATTTAGAACCGAAGAATCAATTTCCACCGCAAGAATGGGCGTTGATAAGTTTTTGTTACGTTGTTATGTGTACGAGAATTAATAATTGCACGTAATACATCAAGTTTTAGTAAAATATCAAAGTGTGAAGATTCGAGTAAAAAAAGCTCGGCACGGAACGTGTTAACAGTTTCATACGTCTGTATAAACGATCTATAAACCTTTCAAAGAATCAAAGTATCGCGAACATTTTATGAAAAACAATCTCCAGAATATCAAAAGAATTATTCATTATTACTAGAATCACCTTTAAAATATTTATAAAACGATGCATTCACAATGTTATTAAAAATTTCATAAGAATTCTTGCAATATTTAGAGAGCATTTCCAAAAATCAAAGTATCGTGAACATTTTATGAAAAACTTTTTCCAGAATCTCGAGGGAATTATTTCTAATAATAGAATTGCCTTTAAAATGTCCATCGAATGACGTCTTTATAAAGTTATTAACAAGCGTTATCGTAATATTTGCCGCGAGTAAGAAATACATTGAATAAATAACTCATAAATGTATCTTTACAATTTTACCCGTCATTTCCACGGATTCCGTAAACCTACTCTATTTATGATATTTAATTAATGTTGAATTAATATTCTCAATATATTAGTATTAATAATAATATTGGTATATTAATATTAATAATAACAATATTAATAATATTAATATATTAATTAATAATAACATTAATAACAATGTCACATTAATATTGAATTACTTAGTAAATGAATAATAATTGACAGTGAATAACATTTGAAAAGCAAAACTGCCATTCAATGTCCATAGAGAAGATCCGTTGGCCGAGACCGAGGCGAGGTAATTCAGGAAATGAAAATTCCTGGAAACGAAGAAGCTCCGCGTTCTATTAAAGTTCCCGGATGATCTTTGGGAAGAGAGCGATCGCTCTAGAATTTTCCGGAGGCGCGGATCGATTCGCCGAGGTGGTTCGTGCTCCGGGAAACGTCGCGATCGTCGGTTGTGCACGCGTGTGTCGGTCTCGGGGCCTCGGATCGTGCAGAAACGCGGGCCCTCCTCTCCTCTTTCTGCCTTTCCACAAAGTTTCGCGGCTCGCACGTGCGTGGCAGAAAGGGGCTAGGCGGGATAGATCGGCTCTTCGCTGGTCGCGCGATGCATTCCGC